CGTCGCTAGCCACAACATCAGAATTCCGCCGTCAGACGCATTCGTCGACATTTGCATCACTCAGGCGAAGAAGATCAATGCAAATGTTGGCGTATTCGCAACCATCGACTTAACATCACTCATCACAGTGTAACACACAGTATACAGTATGCATGGTGTAACAGCGGTGAGCATGTATTTCTTGGGAGAGCCCTCTAAAACGGGGCTCGGTACGTACAGAAGAGGGTTATAGCGTTGGTGTTCAGCTTCGTCCTCATGCAACCTCATCTCGCCCAACTACTTCTGCGAGTGGTCAACGGACGATCTCCAGAAAGAGTCAACTTTTACAACCGAACGAGCAAGCGGACTATGAACAAGTGGAGCAGCTGTACGAGTAACTACGAGGCGCCATTACCATGCCGTCCATGTGCACAAACGTCCAATAAGATTTCAACGCAATAGTAGAAAAGGAAACAACTGGCACAGAGCGTTACCTCGCCTGTTTGGAAGCGAAGGAACGTGACTCCCGCCTCATGGCGTATGCCGAAAGGAACTGTCAACAAAAGTTAGTTATTTTTTGCACCTACGGACTGATAATTCATGTCGCTGGCATCATCTGCCCGCGGCTGAACATCAGGGAAAAAATGCAATGCCTGGGTCATGTGTTGCACGTGCTCTGCGCGTGCTTCGTTCGATTGTTGACGACACTTGCTGACCGCCTTCTCCTTCATTTCATTTGAAGCAGCTGGTCACGGCTAGGCTGGCTGCTGTCTCCACGCCACGGCTAGGTGGCCGTGCCTCTCAGGTGCCATCATTCAGCGGTTGTCGTCTTGGCGAGTTTCGAAATGCGGCCATCGTCTACCGTAACTCTGCTGGGAGTGCGACTGCTGCAGTCTGTGGTTTGTAAAGGCTCATATTTAGTTGTCTTTTTTTCTGACAAAGCCATTGCAGCGCCGATGTCTTCGCCTTTGTTAATGTTTGCGAATTTATACTAAAACAGTGCCTTTGACAGATTCATAAATTGTCGGACTGAGAGTCCTCCGAAGACCAAATGACTCTGCAGCTCAACGAAATTGCCGACGCTGCCTTAATTTGAAAAATGGTCCAAGATTTTGTTTTCAAACGTATTTGTTGAACGCTGCTCATTTTAGCATATTATCCGTTTCTTTCGTATATAATTATAATTATAACTTTATATGCGACAGTATGCGAATCTTAGCTTTTACGTACAGTGTATACAAATACAAATAAATTGGTGTATCCAATGATCGTCTCTTCAGCGAGGAAGATCGTTACAGTGGTTTCTAAACAGTACGTGACGAATTATCAGGCAGCCTGTTCTCCAAACTTAAGCCTTCACTTGTAGTTCGACTACAATTAGCGTTTTTAGCCAATCGGTTTGGAAAATGAAACAATTTTTTTGCACAACTGGTTGAACATGTAGCATTCTTTTCACATTTAAAATAAAAATAAATTTCAGTTAATTCCTAGAATGTAAGTGTCGACGGTGTAAGTATTTCTGAATGATTTATGTCTTATTGGTCTGTTTTATTGGTTTATTTCATTTATTTATTATTTTTATGGTTTATTTATGTAAACATCATAAAAAATAATTGTGTCTTACATTAGAGAACAACTCAGTATTGTAATGAACAGATTAACCATCTGTAGTTTAACATGCAGATGAAGGTCCGGAGTTGCTTCGTTGCGTTTGCTTTTCATCGCAATTGCGTCGTAATTTAACGATCACAATTTCTGATGGCACGAAAGGGCGAACAACTAAAAAGGGGTATTTGTAGTAAATAAGGTCAGTGATGAAGGAGGAAATGG